TGGACTTGGAATCGAATAAGGGAGAGGGTAAAGGAGTGTCGAAACTGCCGAAATCGTATGTAAAAGGGAAGCGAATCGGAAGTTAAAAGTATAAGGGGAATTAAAGGAGAGAAGGGTTTATAAATCGGAGAGGGAACCGTAAATCGAATAAGAGGGAGGTAAAGGAGGGTCGAAAATCGTCAAAATCGTATAGAATTGACCACTTATGCCTACCATATAGCCCCAGATTTGTATACCATATATGCCACCACTTGATCTACCTATACTGGCATCTCTTCCTCTTCGTCCGCCTGGAATAGAGACTCATACTCTCGTAATTGCATAGCAGGAGAAGCTAAAGGCAAAAGCAAAGGGGTCTTAATATTATATAGCCAATCTGGTAAGAGATGCGAAGGAGGGAAAGGAACCGTAAAAGATATGATTCCAAGGTATATATAATTGAGCTCTTACCGGAGTAGTTCTTTGTAATAGGCAAGCAAGCTTTGGATATCGGAATCGGAAGGATCCCCATATTATACGAGCTTATTAATATATTGAAAGTAAGAGCGAGAGACTTATAAAGCATCTAGCTTTATAAATAAAGGGGGAGAGGCGAAGTCGACAGGAGGAGAAATAGATATTATATAATCGGTAGAATCAATGGAAATTGAAGCGAATGCAAAGCAGTAGTAATTCAGCCGTAAGAGGAGAGTCTTGAACCAATAAAGGACGTCGTTATCGTATGAAATTAATGTAATTGGGGCTGAATCCTAAAGCTAAAAGCTTGGCAGAGAACAGAGAAGCGGAAAGAAGACGAGAGAATCGAGATTATATCGTCCGTAGAATTAGCGGAAAATCGAAGCGAATATAAAGCAGTTATAAAGCAATTGAAATTCAGTCGTAAGAGGAGAGTCTTAAGCTAAGGAAGGACCTCGTTCTCGTACGAAATAATGGAATTGAAGCCTGAATCGTAAAGCTAAAGCTTGGCAGAGAATAGAGAAACAGAGAAGACGAGATTACGGCGTCCGTGGAATTAGCTAAAGCTCGGTATGCTTGAAGGTAGTCGTGAAAGTAAGTAAAAGAGAGAGTCTTAAACCAAACAGGGATATCGTTACTATCGTACGAATAACGTAATTAAAGCTTGAATCGTAATACTTGAAGCTTGGCAAGAGAGCAAAGAAGTAGAGAAAAGAAGACAAGATTACGGTATCCGTAGAATTAGCTAAAATGCGGTACGCTTGGAGGTAGTCGTAAAAGTAAGTAAAAGAGAGAGTCTTGAACCAAATAGGAGAGGTTATTATCGTCGTACGAATAATGTAATTAAAGCTTGAATTGTAATCCTACGACTATAAGGGAGATATATAATAATAGAGCTCCAGAACGTAATCTTCCCTGGGTCGCTACTATAATAGGGATATAAAACAAGTAGTAATATAGATAGTAGAATGGGCTTCTATAGCGTGGGATTACAGCGTACGAGTGAGACGTAGAATTAGAGAGTAAAGGTTAATTGATTTCTAAGAACTAAGAAGGAGAGAGGGGTAATATAAGCAGACTGCGGACTATGGACGTCCGGAAGTCACATGACAGAACCACGTAACTAATAGGGGTAAAATCCCTACTATACTATTAGCTAATAATCTTAAGGCTAGATAGTATATCTTTAATACTTCCGGAATTCTAATTAAGGGAGTTTATAGTAATAAGCCTTTTCCTGCTTTCCGAAATAAGCCTAAAGAATAGACTTCTATTATAATTTCTGCTTTAACTTAACTAGATCTAGCTAAGAAAAATAGGGCTAATTTAATAGAGCCTAGTAAGAAAACTATTAGTAAAGCTAGCGGAACTAGTATAACTAGATAAGAAGAACCTAGTAAGAATAGAAAGTAAACTAAGCCTAAGACTTCTAATAAATAGTAGAGATCTAAGTATTAGACTAAGTATAAGGTTAGTAAAATAGAGAAAAGCAAGAAAGAATTCTCTACTTTAAAGAAAAAGATATTATCTAGAAAAACTCCTATAATTATATCTAGAACTAAGAAGTAAAAGACTAAAAATATTAAGTTCAGAAAACTTAATAAAGATATTTAGTATATTTATAAAATACTAGTTAAATAGAAGTTAATACTTGCTTAATAGAATAAGTATATCTTTAAAGAAATATATAATAGTATTTTAGGACCTATCTATAAGCAAGAATATTATAGGATTAATAACGGATTCCTTAAAGCTCTCTATATAGTATATACTTAGTAACTTACTAATATTCTCTCTATTAATATATAAGATATTAAGAATACTCTAAAGCTAGTTACTAAAATCTATAAAGTTACTAAAGGCAAGAAGTATATTTCCGTTACTTAAGTAAATAAGGAAATATAGGATTTCTTTTTTAAGACCTAGGAAATTAAGTAATATAAATACAAGTACTATATTTCTAATTAATTCCGTTCTAATCTATAGCTTTAATTTAATACTATAGTTTCTATTTCTGAGTCTAGTATTATTAATCTAAATATAAATAGTTATATTTATAAGAAGAATTACCTAAAATGAATTAAGAAGCTTAGTATTCGAGAGTTCTTAATAGAGGAAATAGAAATACTATAGTTCTATTTCTAAAAAGATAATATATTAATATATAAAGATCTAGGTAATAGCTACTTTACCTTAGCCTCTTAACTTTTAATAGCAGATCTATTAATATAGCTCGGATTCTATAAAGTATTGAACAAGTATCTTATTTACCTAGTTATTTACTATTAGCTAGCCTAATACTTTACTTCTAGAAATATTAATTATAATTAGTATAAAGGTAATACTAAAAATCTGGCTATTACTAAAGCTTTAAATAGCGAATTTTACCTTAGTAAAGAATATCGGAATATTAGCTATATTTTCCTTATAGACTATAAGAAGGCTACTACCTTTAGTAAGAAATTCTTTAAAGATATTAATTACTTCTCTATTTCTAATAAATTTGAGCCGGAAGTAGCTAAGGAATTAGGCAAGTATTTACTAAAAGTAGTAGAAGAAAAGACTCCGAATATAGTCTATTTAACTAAATAAATAAATACCTTTAGCTAGATAATCTATAAGTCTAGAATTATAGGAAAGTATTAATTCTTGAATAATATATAAGTTAAAGGATAGCTTAATAATAATTTGCTACTTAATAGGCTTTTTACTATAATTCTAATAAGTCTAGTTACTATTAAGAATAAAATATACGAAAATAAAGTCTTCTATAAGGTTATTAAAGCCTCTTATCTAGAGCTTTCCCCTTTTATTAAAAGTTAATTTAAGGATACTATAAATAATACGAAATTTAAAGAAGCTATCCGTTTAAAGTATATTAGTGCGATTTATAATATAATTTGCTATAATAAGCCTCCTTAATATCTAGTAGTAAAGGTAGAAATTAAGTAATAGTTAAAGGCAGATACTAATTAATATAGAGAACTATATTAGATTTAATATAAGAATGCGGCTAAGCGGATTCGGATTACTTTTAAGCAAGTTCGGAAGTATAAAATAAGATTATTTAAGGGTAATAAGTCTTATTTTAGGTATATAAAAAAGAAATTAGATTAACTAATAGAGGAGGATCCTAAATATTTTATTATTTCGGACTCTAAATAGAATTTTTCTATTATTTTTAGTACTTAGGAAACAAGTATAAATAAATAGGAAGTCAGATATAATATAGCAGGCCATACTTATTAAAAATTATATTATTTTAGCGGTTTTAAGATTTAGGTTATATAGTAAAGGCTATAGCCTTTTATATATAACTTATAGAAATTATATAAGAAAGCTAGTTTTTCTATAGACTTAAAGAATAATTCTTTATAAGTATTTAATTAATTGAGCTTTTATATACTATATACTATTTATACTTTACTATTTATACTTTTAATTTATTATTTTACTATTAAGTTACGTTTTGTACTCTAGTATACTTTATATAAGTTTTTATCTTATTATAGTTTCCCTTCTATAGTACCCTAGTAAATATATAAAATATATAAACCAAATATTATATAGAAACTAAGAAATATATAAATACCAAGTATATAAGAGCCCTACTATATCCTTCTATAAATATAGTAGCCCTATAATATATAATAAAAATTAATATTATATAATAATATTAAGGGACTTAGTAAGCTCTAAGGCTAGTAGATTTCTATTAGTCTTACGAATATGCCTTAAAAATTAGTAAGCTTCCTAAGGCTAGTTAATTTCTACTAGTTATATAAATATGCCTTAAAATTTAGCGAGCTCCTAAGGCTAGTAGATTTCTACTAGTTTTATAAAAGCTCCCACAAGTTTAAAGAAATATCTATAAGACTAGCAGAAATCTACTAGCCTTGGGAAGCTCTCCAGGTTTAAAGGGCATTTATAAAACTAGTAGAAATCTACTAGTAAGCCTCTAGGAAAAGGAAAATATTATCTAATATTAGTTCTCTAAATACTAAGGTAAGGCAAGTAATTATATAATTACTGCCTTGCTTATAAAGGAAATCATATATCTAACTTTAGAAAAGCTAATTAAGATATATAGAAAAAAACATTATATTATTTTCTTTAAAACGTAATTAGCTATATATATATCTGGCAGAATACTATTTTTGACTAATAAGTATTTGCTATTTGCTTCTTATTACTACTATATTAAGTATATACCTATAATACTAGCTAAAGAAAAGATCTTACCTGGAAATTAAAAAATAGAACCGCTTATCTATTTTCCTTTCCTCGAAAGTAATAAGCGGACTATTCCCTTATCTTTCGAAAATACACAGGTCGCAAATCCGTATTAAGAATATACTTTCTATTTTTAACTTCTCCTAGCTACCGAATCCTAACTTTTAGTATTTTAAATATATTTATTCTATATATTCTATTATAGATTTTCCGGTATTAGATATATAAGCTTAGACTATTTAAAGAACTATATGCCTTATTCTCTTAATATTTAAAGAATAATCTCTTATATTATAGCTATTAAGCTACCTAAAAGAAGAAGTAAAAGGTTAAGCAGGCGGAAGTCTACCTTAATTAATAAGGCCTATAACCTGGTAGAGTTCTGTAATATTAATATAGCCCTTATTATCCGTAACCGTCGGACTAGTTATTACTTTATGTATAATTCTATTAATCTCAAGTCCTGGCCGCCGTCCAAAGAGCAAATCGTAAATTACTAGCCCTAGTTTTGAAGGTTATAAAGGGCGCAACTAACGGGGAGTTAGTAACTATTATATCCGGTACCGGTAAACCTGCTTCCGTATAATATAGAAGCAGGGCATAGAAATCTCAAGTATTATACTAGACTAGAGCGGGTAGAGTAAAAGGTCAGGGCGGAAGAGGGGCAGTAGATAGAGATTATAATAACGGAGCTAATATTTGTAAATTACAGTCAGATAATTAAAGGACGGAATCAAGTATAATAATTAAATAAATACCCTCAAAATATATTATATTAATTATTATAAATAGTATTATATAAATACAAGATGCTATAGAGACGAGATGACTTCAAAGTACCCCAAAAGTAAGATGTATCCGATATAACCTAATATTGCTCCGATATTACGGATGAGATTGCCTGGCTCAGGCAGGTATTGAGAATTCTTTCTCGGGCTCGCCCTCGTACTACTATATCTCGGGCGGAGGTCACCCAACTTACCACAAGTCGGTACACGCATCACAAACTCGATATTGATATCTCTAGCTTCGATGAACAGCTTGATAAATAGTCGACCGACCTCCAAAGATCTTCTTATTCCGACGGATCTCTCCAAATTGCAGACATGGTCCTGCTCTCTGCTACTCTCCAGACGAGAGCCCTCCGTCGGGCACTGTTATGGCTGCTCTGATTGACATTAGGCTAAAGCAATGCACCCTTGAGAATCAGATATCATAAGCTACTCTTCTTCCATCAACTGGCATTCAAGCTCATTAATCCGAAGGTATACTATCGGACAAGGCCTACTCGCTACGCAGGAATATATCTTGGAGAGTACGAAGAATTCCAATGGGCCAGCCCCCGAAGACAAAGATCTGGAAAATACGGAACTCTCCTTTCAAAACTTGAGCGTCTCGCCACATACTAGTCTGCTAGTCAAAGCTACCCCATCCGCAGGGACTTCTTTAATAATATCTATAGCAAGCGAGGATATAGGTGGCGTAGTGCAAAAGTTTGCAGACTCTGGCAAAGAAGACATATACGTCCCATAGGAGAAAGAGGTCCCTAAGAAAAAGGTGGTACGGAAGAATGTAATCAGAAAGTCAAAGAAGCAGGAATATAGCATTACTAGTATTCCACTAATAGAGAAGGGGTTAGGAGATATTTAATAAGACTGTTATAAGTTCTGCTAATGAATTTGTTTCTAAATATAAGACATTAATCAAATCCCACTATACCAGGGCATAATCTCTATCCAGAATAAAACAAGAGATATTTGAAACATATTAACGCCGGCCGCTTTAACTTATAGTTCTCTTTAAAAATGCATTCCTACCTAAAAGCCTAGTTTTCTTTGAGCTTATTATAATTAATATCATATTTCGGGCCGCCCTACTTTAAAAGATAGTAGCTAGTACTCTGAATTTGAGTCGTATTAAAGTTATAAATATTTCTTGCTTAAACGCCTAAACGGGCCTTGGTTTAATAATCATTATCGCCTTTAGGTTCTGGTTCCGAGTCAGAGATAACTATAAACTCGAGAGGCTAGGCAGAAATTAATAGAGATAACTTTCCAGCCAATGCTCAAACTAGCTTTCTAGGGCATTAGCTCTATACTCCCCCTCTTATATCTTGTACCTGCATTCTCTTTAAGATATTACGAGATCTCGGAATATAAGTTACGGATCCAGTCCTTAAGCACTTCCTTTATCCCTGTTTCCCAGCAGTCCTAGTAGCTATTAATACCCTATCTTGCACACCCGTAATACCCTATATACTCTAAATACTATAGCTACCTTTCTTTCCGGAAGAAGTAGTACTTTGGATATCGGGAGTATCAAGATATGCGTCCACCGAGAAAGGTTCGTCTCGCAAGACTTGGGCTATATTCGTACGATTTGGGGCTCGAGATTTTTCGAGGGAAAGTAGTTAAGACGGAGCTATAAAATAAGGGCAATACTGGCCAGTAATTACAGTTAGTAGCTTTGGGGTTCCGGTTATATCGGGCTTTAATTATATATTTGTATTGCCTCCCTAGACAGGACGGATACTATTTTCGTTATTAATAATATCCGTCTCCTAATATCCAAATCTATTTGCCTTAGCAAGTAGCTTTACTAGTTAACTTATACTAATTATTTGGAGTCGCACCTCAATAGCGAGATCAAGAAACTGCTCGCTTATAGACTCGAGTATTTCCTTGCTATAAGACTCGAGAATTATATATATGAGAGGTAAGCCGGTTGCAGCCTTCCCGATTAAGGAAGCAGTAATAGTATTACTAGTTATATGGGAGCTCGAGTAGGGGGTAATAGAGCTCGGTATAGAAAATATTATAATATATATTAGGGTAAAGTAGGATTACTCATATGAAAGTATTATCCGCGGCATAAAAGAGCTCGGGAAATATATATATAAAGATAAGCAGAATAGCTATATTTACTTACTTTAAAGCGTTAATATAATATATATATAGACTATATTTGCTTCGTAAATAATTATTCTTGAAAGATGCGCCAGAGATAGCTATCTCTATTCCAGGCTAAGCGAGATACAAGAATTATTATCTATCTAGGGCTCTTAGTAATTATATAATAAGTAATATTTTATTTTAAATAGATTTAAACGGACTATCTCTTATATTGCAATATATATAAGTGGTATTAGGCTGGGATTAACCATTATTAAGTCTATTATAATGATTTTGCGAAATAGGCTTTTCAGGTACCCCACAACCCAAGCCTACTTAATCGGCTATTACCGATTCACGCAGGAGTAGCTATCCGCCAAGGGAAATCGCTATATAGAGGAAGATCGCCCTATCCTCCGCTATTTGAAAGATATAGTATTTACTTTACTATAGAGACTTCTTAAACTTGAGGGAGAATAACGAGGTTTAATTTCAAATAATAGTTCTAATAGAGATATAGCTACTCCCCAATAGAGATTATTATAAATATAATAAACAATCTTTAGGACAGGTATCCAGTAAGTCTAAATTCTCCTGAACCACTTCACTATTACGAAGGCTAATATCGTCCGGATTATATACGTTATCGAGAGCGGTAGAAGCTAGAGCTAGAGGGTTCTCGGCGGTAGCCATAATTATGAAGGCGCCAATAAAAGCGGTAAATTATTCTTGGGTATATAGGAAGGGCAGTACTACTAGTGTGGTAATGTGTGGTTCGCATGGAGGAGGTGGTGGTCGTGGAGGAGGTGATTAGTAAATGGTGGGTACGGGATGGCGACTTGGGAAGACCTGGAAGGGCAGAGAGTGCGATAAAAAGCAATAAAGTGAATAATATAATTAGGAAGGGGAGAATAGTACTTATGAATAATAGCGCCATAATATTTAAGATGTAAAAATAAGTAATAATAAACCGAGATCTATATAATACGCACGGTGAATTAATACAGGGTACTCCAAATCATAAAATATTAATTATTAAATAACCATATCCTAGCCAATTAGCTTTCTATAATAATCGTAATCCTTGCCTATCTATATTGAAGATACACGGAAGCTGCGCCTGCCTTCCCCGGCCCCTGTGGCCAGTTTTCACTTTATAAGCGACATCCCTGCGAAGCGAAAATCCCGTAGTACAACTGGAACTTCGACAAAATTACAAATATCTCAACGCCACATAATAGTATTTTGTTTCATACTTGCCTCACCCTAGTTTGACGTATTTTAATTCTAAGATAGGTATTTAAATTTCGCGAGAGCTTATATAAAGGCTCATTAACTTAATTATGTATTTAGGTTTCAAAACATTATAATATCTACAAATGGAAAGGAACTACGACCGTGCTAACTTTCGTATAGAGTAAGTTCCTAACGTGGAAACTTATTTTATATCGGTTTATATAAAGCATCAGAGGCGGAGTTCTTCCGCAGTTGTGGTGGCAGGTCTGTGCTAGCGCCATTATCTAAGTGGCTGAGGGTAATCGCCACACCTGCTTCCAACCTCTCTTAAAAGGACTCGATATGATTATTATCTCCTCTTAATGTTTTAACGAAAGGCAAGAGACTTCGGATAAGGCTCGCGCGGTGGTTGTAAAGCTTATTAAGGAACTGAAAACTAGTAGGCATTAAAGAAGTATAATTAATAAAGTTAAGTATAAGCCTTCTGTTTAAGAAAAGCTATCTACTTATATAGTCCCTTGTGCCTAGGAGTCCTATGGATTCCTGCCTGCCCAATGAAGTCCGTCGGTATTCTTTGGACTCCATCACGTGACTGACCGTCCCGTGATCTCCGTTAATGGTTCTCTGTGCAGTCCTGCCTGCCGAGCCTCAGGCCATTGATTGTCGTGTATTCGTAACATAATTATGAATATATTATAAGCTAGCTTATAAAACTACGAACGAAGTAGCAAACGACTTCGAATCAGGCTTAATTAGAGGAGAGTACGGAGTCTATCGCCGCCGAAGCCTCTTAGTGTACAAGGTCCAGTAAGTACCGGTATAGCATATAAGGAGAACCCTGCTAACCACAATGTACGCCGCGAACACATTTCTTGCAGTATGCCATGCTTTTTGGGCTGATTTCAGTATGCCAATAAGGAATACTACCAGGAGTGTAATGCAAAGTCCGGCGCTAATACACCACATAGTAAGGACCTGGATAAACTCGAAGATATCGCCTCCTCGCCCACTAAAGCGCTATTGCCTTCCATAGTAGAAGATGGAGAACGGGCTACTAAAGTGCTTTGAGATTATATCCAGTCCCTCTGATTTGATCTAAAGTCCGAGTCTAATGGCATAGAGGATAAATATAGTAACGGTAGCGAGCCCGATAAATACGCCAAAGAAGTCGAATAGCAAGTTTGTTCCGATCAAGTTCTGGTTACTATTATTACTTTTTAGTCGGGTATAGGCGATCTGTTTAAATGGAAATTGCATGCCTAATACGGAGGCCGAGAGTAATAAGGGCAGATATAAGGAGGCCAGTATTATTAGGATCTTAATTGCCTTGGCTTTGCGGATAGTATACCGCTTCGTCAGGTAATCTAGCTGGCGGTTAAGAGCCTCTAGGGCCCTCTTTGCATTGCCGCCGCACTCTGTATATAGTGCTTCTAGCTCTTGCATATGTCTCTCGTAGTCTTTATGGACAGGCTATTATATGCTTGCGGTATTATTTTGCTCAAGTGCTGCGACTACAAAATTAATAGAATCCACTAAGTTATGGACACTTCTAAGGATTCCTTTGGCGTGCTCTATCTCCTTGAAGGCCTCCCTGCTTTTAGCAGATAGACGAGGCTCGAAGAGACCTAAGGGAACTTGAAGATAAGGGTTTTTAGTGAGCGAAAGCTTTAGGACTTCTTTTTCCGGCAATTGTGAGTAGATCAGGGCACTATAGTAATCTACGGGCTGTAAATAAATGGACGCAAGAAAGAAGTCCAGGACTAGGAGTTTAGCGAAAGTGTCGACGGACCCGTCCGAAAGGGAGGTCTAACTAGTCCTAGCTAGTATTTTCGAAATACTATATGGATTTTGAAAAAGGATATTGTTCTTACGAGATTTATTTACTTTAAATGTTTGCCCGGACCAGATATCGTTCACTATAATGGCTAGAGGCTTATAAGCAATAGGCAATAATATAATCAAGTATACTTACCTATTAACCGGCTATTTGTATCTTGCATATAAGTCAAGTATAAATCTCTTGGATAGAGGTCGTAATCCAAAGGATCCTGTTACAGGCTCGTACGGTTAATAAGGCAATAAAAGTTTGCATTACTACCGCCCAAATACTGAGACTATTAGGAGGCTATACTCCCGATATTATTTACGAGAAGCGGGTTATTAAGCCATCTGAAAATCCGCCGTTCCTCAAATGGCTGCATATATATATCTTGCAGAAACTTGATTAAGATATCTCTGGCTGGTCGTATTTTCTCCGGACCCTTCGTTTCTCTACGGCCGGTAATAATGAAATCAGAATAGGTAGTAATATCTAGAATCCTTGCAGTCCTACTACCATATAGCGGAAGACTTTTCATACCCTCGGCAATATCGTCGCTTAAGCTAAACACGGCAAGCACCTGCGGCGCTGTCCCATCATATGGTGTATCGATGACTTGCAAGACGGCTTTTTCATCCTGCGAAAGGGACTTGCTAGCCACTTCGAGATTATCCGAGTGGCCTATAATCTCTGTCGGAACAGGCCTTCTCCGAATATAATGGGTAGAGGATGGACTCGACATTGTGCGAAGCGGTGCTGATTAGTAAAATGGGAATGTGAGGGACTAGGGGAGAAGGTGGATGGACCGTAACTCGTCTTCCCACGCTCTTAAGTCCATAATAATACCTCAGCCTGATGTCCTCCGCTGTTCGCAAAAGGCAGAACAAGGCAAATACATGCATGAGTATCTCCGAAATAGCAACCAATTGTAAAGAAGCTCGTTTTGGAGCCAGTCCACCGATGCAACCCACCACTCCAGCCATCATTTAATTAAAGACGAGGGTGGCTCCCCGAAATAGGAAGCTCAGCCTGACGCTGTGTGACCACTTGTGATGGCACACAATGGCAAAAGCAAGTAGCTGGAAAGGGACCACCGCGAAGAGAGGGGCCTGCGGCATCATTTGAAGTGGTTTCTGCTTTCCTTAATATCGGCTGCAGGAGTAATTAATTGCTCTTGAGATTGATTTACAGGCATTTGGATAGAATATCTTAGCAAAATTCAAGTGGTAAGATTACTTCAAGCAGAGATTTGAAGGGGAGAATGATGATAAGGCACAGGCTGATCCTTCGCTTGAGAAGCAACAAAGTCATTAGTGCACTGACGTGGTAATAAGAATAGTATGTGGTTTGAAGGCTGCATATCTAATTTACCATTCTGGCCTACTAATGCATAGTAAACCTGTTTTGCGCCAAAGGTTTTGCCCTCGCTCGCCACACACGTTGTCTTGCATATTGTCCAGTTGCCCGATTTCTATGTGCTTACGAGGAGCTGAATGGAATAGGCACGTAGCTACAGGTAAGGGCAGCCCCACGAAGCGCCGAGATTCCTTGCTATGCATTTGATCGCCGACATTCAGCCTCACTACACCCTCTCGTCAATCCTACAAAGTATGCTCCCTGTATTTGCATAATATTTGTGCTACCGCACTAAAAAGCCGCCCGTAGGATGTCGAAACGGTCCACTCCGTTTTATCGTGAATCCTGCGTCTTGGATTCATTGGTAGCGAAAAATAGGTCATGGCTATGGCTATGCGTCTCACTAACGCGTCGATCGGTGAACGCCCCAGCGGCAAGGGAGATTGAGGACTGGCGACAAGTAGCTGCGGCCTCAATATTGCACCTCTTAGTGGATAAGTGTCTTGCTGTGTGAAAATGGTGCCCATTTGACCCCTCTTTCTTTACTAATTTTAATCAAGTCTCTCTCATCTGCTGTTATACCAAGTTGAAAATGCACTAGTCTGGAACTATTATTAGTTCCAGGAGGCCGTCTCGGAACCCGAGGAATTGAGGGGGCCGAAACGGGATCCCCACACCAGCCAGCGTTGAGTGCCCATTTCGGCTCCTCCTTTACTAACTCTATAGGAGGTGGTTGACGATTTCTTAAGGCTGTCACGAGCACATAATACGGTCTGGAAGACGAGGGCCTAGGCTGGCAGTGAGAACGCGAAAACTCCGTAAGGCCATGTTAGGTTATGACAAACTATATGAGTACTGAAGAGCTCCCTGGAAGGTGAAGCGCCCGAATGCCTGGCTCCGGAGTGACCGGCTCGGGGACGAGCCTGATCCAAAGGGGAGGGTAATGTCACGGCTACGCCATTGTAAACGCTGCGTGACCAGTATCACATGACGTATGGATCGTGCTCTCATAGAGTAGAATAGCTAATAAGGCTCTAACCTTATTATTGTGCCTTTTTGGCCTGCTTACCCCTGCGTGTAAAGCTATTCGTGAATTGGCTTTTCGAGTGACTTTTTGTCACCTAATCGCGTGCCCTCTTTAGAGTAGAATTCGACTATTGCCGGAGCAATAAGTTCTTGAAGCGTCCAGCCTCGGGTAAACCACCTGCTACTCCGAAAAGCCGCTTCCCATGTGCTCTGGCTTGGCTGAATGTCTCCGTTATAAGTAGGTACTGATATATCCGTGAGGTACACGTAGCATTTCTTCGCATTTCGATACCAGCGGAACATCGAATTAATAGCCGTCGAAAGCTCAGCAGAGTTGGACTTGTCAATACAACAAGTGTCTACCCAGAAGTGTTGTAGGCCATCTCTAGTCGCTTGTTCTCCGCAAAACTTGATCTTTTCGAAGCCAGACTTGCTTTTCCCAGTACTACTGACTAGATCTTGATAAGTGACCTCTTGACCTGTCCAAGTGTGCGAAAGTATTACGTAGGGAAGTGTATTATGGGTAGCAACCTGGATCAGGCTGAATTCGCCAGGGCTTTTCATCTCCAAAAGACGCATGATTTCGGACGGCTAGGATCTCGTGTGTCTAAAGAAGTTAAGGTGAGATCGAAATCACAATTCTAGACAGAATAGAGTATGGGATAAGAGTATTCAACGTAGAGTAGCCCTTTGCACAGTGGGGACGTCTGCAGCATGTAATGTATTTCATGGCGCAGTATAACCGGAGCCTGCCTTTCGGATTGTGGCTTGACCAATCTGTAGCCACAATGCCATAATTTAGACGTCGAGATTCGGTAAAAGATTATTAGAGTACAGAATTATTGGCATATAGAAATGCAATTAACGAGCAAGTCATAATAATATTAAATGGAGGATTATATTGAGTTGTAGTAGTCGAGGATGAATACACTTTGGTAATCTGGTAATATTTATTTTTAGAATTGCTTACTAAGTAATATTTAACTCAGTTAAACATTATATACTATGCCCGTAACTAATTATTAAGGTTTATTTACCTAGTAGATATATGATCTGAATATATAAATAGTCCAAGTTAACTATACTATATATATATATCCAGTTTAAAATACCTATTCCTAATACCGTAATTTCGTACTCTATACCTCTCAATTCTTGGCCACGTAACCTTAATTAACAAATAATGCTATTAAAGTAATATATGGTAATTACTTAATAATACTCGCTATAAGACTATACTATAATATTTCTCTATATGGTTTAGTAGATACATCTAATACAAAAGCACAGATCTCTTACCTATAGATTACTTAACTTGCTAAACCTCTTATTTACGTAACTATCTTAATTACTAAATATATAAGTATATAAAGATAAAAAGAGAAAACTATAAATATCTAAGATTATATATTTGGATTAATAAAAGATATATAATACTATTACTAATTTATACCCAAATACCTAATAATAGAGGGAAAAAGAAGGAAAATAAAAGGTCGAGCTATATAGCTATATACTCTTAGTATATTATCTAAAGTATTAGGATATAGTTCTATAGATATGCTTTATATAATTCTAAAGATATATTTTATACTCGAGAGATATTTAATAGATCTTATACTCGAGTAAATCCTCTTCTTTAATATTAGCTAGATACTTCTGCTTAAAGTACTTTATTAAATCTCCTGGCTTAGTAAACTTATAGGTATGCTTTTTAAATAGTAAGCTCTACTTCCCTAAGTAGAGAAAGCAGGTAATAGTTCTCTTTTTTATAAATACTAATAGTATAGTATTTCTTAATACTTGCTTCTTGGCCTCGGTAGCTACTAGCTATAGGTTAGCCTCTTTTAATAATATCGGACTCGCCCTTTATATAAACGGCCTCATATATAGTTAGGTAGTAGTTTCCCTTTCCTAGAAATAGTAGTAGGTAGTAACTATATTAATAGCTATATTATACTAGCGGAATTCTTCTTTAATAATTATTTCCGGGAATATTATTATTATCTTAGTCAAGTGCTTCTATATTAGAGGTATTTTATTATTCTCGTTTAAGGTAATCTTTATATCCTGGCTAAGCTTGAGTCTAGAAAGCTATTACTTGATCTTATTTACCGGATTTTCTAGATCCTAGTAATCTTAAAAATACTTGAGAAATATAGCTCTTAGCTATTACCTAGTATTAAAGATTATATGGCTAATAATCCGGTATACGGGCTATTATATTACTATATTTTAGAAGCGGCGCTTTTATTTCTCTTGCTCTATAATAAGATAGTAAATAGCGAGATCCTAATTAATAAATAGGGATTTCTCGGATATAAATTCTTATAGCTAGTTAGGATTAATTTAGTAAGTTATTTAATAGGCCGCCTATATTAGGTTATACTAAGGTTTAGAGCCGGAGATAATAGCTCGAGTATTAGTAATAATCTTCTACTAGAGATAGTATTTAATAAAGGTATTAATCTTAATATATTATATAATTATATTCTAGAATATATTACTTATATTACTTATTTATTTATAATTAGTATATTATATAATAGAGAAAAGCAGAGTTATAAGAAGAGGGCTATAGGATACTTACTATTCTAGTTAAAGGTATTACTTGTATTATATTAGAGATAGTATAAATATATAATCTAGGGAAACCTAGTAAATATACTAAGCTATTTTATTTATTTTAAAAAAGTTATATATAATAATTACTAGTTAGGTAAGATCTCTTACTTATAGGATATACTAATAAACTTATAGAAAACGGGAATATTAACTAGTTCCGGCTTTAGATATAAAAGTAGCTACTTATAGCTAGGTAAAATATCTAGCTTACTAATTCTTTTAGCTAATATAAAACTCGGGATTAAGAATATATTATTAGTAAAAATAAGACTCAGGAAAGTAATATATGAATTAAGAACTAGAAATAAATTAAAAATAACCTCAAGAAATAGAAATATATTTCTAGATTTTCTATAAGTTATATATCTTACTAGAATAGAAGAAAAAAAATTAGGGAAATAAGAAAAGGCTTAGGTAAAACTTATACTTCTTTTATATCGAGATATTTCTTTATAAACTTATATATAAACTTAATTAGGATTTAATAAGGCCTATTACTAGAGTCCCGAAGTAGGTTTACTATAATATTACTATAATAAAGGTTTAGAAGTACTAAAGATCGGTTTCTAGAAAATATATCTAGCTAGCTAAAGAGGCTAGTCTCAATATAGTACTAGCTATAGGTATATCTCTATTTTATTATTATTAAGTTAGTCTATAGAATATTAGCTAGATCCTTAATATATATTACTATATTATTATATTTTTTTATTATTAGGTAATACTTCTTTATTAGCTTCCTAAGAACCTATAATAGAGAATATTTATTAGTTTTTTATCTATAATTATTTGGACTAGATTAAGTAAAAAGACAAGAAATACTACTTATCTAATATATATAATAGTTTATTTTCCTATTAATCTTTTCTCTAGCTACTTATTTATATATAAGCCAGAAAACTTTCTAGTATATCCCGAGTATACTAGCTAATTTAATACTAGTAAGCCTTCTCTTATTTTTCCCCTAATATTAATTTAATATTTATTTAAAAAAGGCTTTAAGAATATAGCAAGAAATAGCCTATATTATCCGGATAAGATCTTTTTATATATATTTATAATACTTATAAAAAGAATTAGATTAGTAATTTAATAATAGAAAATAGTAAATAAATAAAAATAGGATATATATTAATAGAACTATTCTTTAATTATATTAAGAAAAAGGAAACTATTATTACTATAATTCTTCTCTTTATTCTCGGATTTATTAGAGTTATTCTTTTAATTAAGATAGTATTCTAGTAAATAGGTATTTTTTTCTCTAGTAATCTATATTAGATCTGCCTTATTAATATTAGTATTAATATCTATTAGTATAATATTAGTATTATTCTTATAAGTAAGCTACTCTAGATCTAGTAGGTCTGACTTATTATTTCTATTAATATTAGTATTAATACCTATTAGCTCGGTTTTAGTATTAGTTTTTTTTTACTTATTTCCTATATTAAAGTAGCTTTTAATATCTGACTTATTACTAGTAAAGGAGAAGAAAGAGCTTGGTATTAGTTATTAGTAATAATATATATTAACTAGATTAGCTAAAGGAAATAATAGTAATAGTAATTAAAAGAAAAGAAGTAAGGTAGAAAATATTAAGGAGAAGCCTATTATCCAAGTAATAATAGTAAAGAGAAAGAAGAGAGATAGAATAAGAGAAAATAATAATTAAGTATAAGAGGCTTAGAGAAAAGAAAATAGAGAAAGGAAAAAGAATAAGTAAAAATATAGGATAGCTACTATCTTAAGTTATCTAGTAAATAGTAAGTATCTATTTTCTATTTCCTAAAAAGGCTCAGGCTTATTAGAAAATAGGAACAAGAATAAAAAAGCAGTTTATTAATTTTGGGTATTTTTATAATTAGCTAGGGTTATATTACCTTAGCTACTAGATATATAAGTATTAGAATAGTATGAGATTTTAGTAAGTTAGCTACTAAAAGTAGTAACTAAATTCCTCCGAAAATAGTAACTAGTTTACTATTTAGTTATTAAATAGAGTATTATTATATAATTATAAAATACTATTTATATAAGTTAGTAAAGTTATTATTCTGAAATAGGAATTATAATATTATAGTATTAATATATAATTCCTAAATTTACTAAACCTAAAAAAATCTAGTTTACTAATTAAATTACTAATAAAATATAAGATTATATAACTATATTTTATATCTTATATTCTATTACTTATATTCTATTATTTATATCCTATATTTTATATCTCGTAATTATATATATAATTCCTAAAGAAATAGTTATATTAATACTAGAAACTTTTTAAAAAATAGAAAAAATAGAAAAAATAGTACTTTTCTTTAATTATATATAAATTCCCTAATCCGGTCTAGTATTAGATCTCTTAAATATTCTATATATTTATATTACTTTTAAGGTTTTAGTTATATACTAAAGATTATAGTCTTTTATATATAACTTCTCTTCTTATAATATTCTCTTATTTTATATATCTATTTCTTATTTTATATATTTATTTCTTATTTTATATATTTATTTCTTATTTTATTTATATTTAATTTATTTTTCTATATCTAATTATATTATATTTATATTAATAAGATACTTAAGAGTATTTAATAGCTTTAATTTTGTTATAGAATTAATAGAATTTAATTTTCTTTTAATTTACTTAACTTCTATAATCTCTTATTATTTATATATCTAATAAAGGTATATTATATTAATTATTAGGTATTTCTCTCGAATAGTATCTAATTTAATAAGGTATTTATATAATAACTTCGAATTTATATAAATAACTAGTAGTAGTTCTATTTCTAGTATTTTATTAATTATAGATTTAACTAAAATACTTATATTAAAATTATAAGTTATATTATAAAGTTCTAAAGCTAGAATACTTCTAGTAATTCTCTTATATTTAATAGAGAACTAGTAAATAATATTAGTATATCTAGCTTTATTTA